CTATCTCTTGGATGATTCCAATGGAGAAAATCATAACAAAGGAGTTTTACTAGGTCCTTTCCTTAAATCTATGAATGGTTTCCCCTGTTCTAAAAATATCTTATCCTTATCCTTTGTTCCTTAAGCTACCAATTGCTATCCACACGGCAGGCAAGCCAGCCAGCAAGGCATCGTGAGGGAGAGATGACAGGGAGCAAGACAAACCACCACCAACCTTCCCCTCCGACCTGGATGGAGTTGGCCTGGGACCCTGAGCCCAAGAGCTCCAAGAATAGTAGCATTCCTCACATTATAGGCCTTGATTTCAGCCCAAGCCTCAAAATTGCCAGCCAGGGAATCAGGCCTTGAGAGAGGCAACAAGGCAACTGCAGGTACTCCACGCTTTTTTGTTGTTCAGTACTGACTCTTTATGACTCCATTTAGGTTTTTTTTTGGTAAAGGTCCTGGAGTGGTTTACCATTTCCTTCTCCAGCTCATTTTACAGATGAAGAACTGAAGCAAACAGGATGAAGTGACTTGTTCAAGGTCACACATCTAGTGTCTGAGGTCAGATGTGAACTTGGGGAGATGTGTCTTCCTGATTCCATGCCCAGTGCTCTATCCACTTCGCCACCTGGGGGCTCCAGGCTCTGAAGAACAATTGAAATTCTCACCACCAAAGTGCTTGGCACTGTCAAATGGTTCAGTAACAGAAGTGGATATGGTTTTATCAGTGGAAAATTACATTAAAGAAAATGCATACCATCTGCTTTGCCACTGTGCCCTAAGGACATTTCCACCTAATTTGCAGCTGAACCATCCTATGTGTTGGTTCCACCAATTAGAATGTGAACTCCTTGAAGGTGGAGTCTAGATTGTTTTTCTATTTGTACACCTATCTTTTAGCACAGTGCTTTGTACATAGTAAGCTCTTAATGCTTCTTCATTCATTCATTACCTTTTCCTTCCCCTTTACAGCCAAATTCTTAGTCTTTTTCCTACCTCCACTCCCTCCACTTCATTCTTATTCAACTCTCTAGAATGTGACATGTATATCCAATAAGCAACTGAAATAGTTCTCTCTTCAAGATCTCTAATGCCAGCCTTATTAAATCCAATGGTTTTTTCTGGTTGTTGTTCTTAGCTTCTTTGAACTCTGTGCAGCATTCATTACCCTTCTGGATACCAGCTCTTCCCTTTGCTTATCTATCCACTTAACTTCCTACTTCCTATCCCCTAAATGAAATAAACTCTCAAGGGGTAAAATAGTCCTTATTTTCTGCTCTTCCTGTATGCAATCTCACCTAATCCCATGGTTTTAATGATCACATCCACGCACTGACACTCAAATCTGGTCTTTCCTCAGATATGTAGTCTCATATTTCCAACTGGCTGCTAGCCATATCCAGTTCAATGTGTCCCAAATTGGACTCTCTTCATGCAAGACCGAGCCTTCTCCAGAACTTTTCTATTTCTGTTGATAGCTTAACACAGTGCTTGGCACATAGTAGGCACTTAATAAATGGTGACTGGCTGCATCATCATCTGTACAACCACATAGGTTCAGAACCTTAAAATTATTTGTGAGTCACATCTAATGAGTTGCCAAGCTCTGTCAATTCTTCCTTGGCAATATATCTTCAACCTATTCCTTTCTATAACTGCTGCAAACACTCTATACCTCAGGTCCTTTTACCTAGACTAGTTAACAGCCTCTTAATCAGTCTTCCTCTCTCATCTTTATTACCAAGTAGAACCTATCTTTACTAACTCAGGAATATTCCTAATGTACCTCTCTGATTTCATAGAGCTCTTTTACTCTAAACCTCTAATGGCTTTTCATTGCTATAAACTCCCGAGCCTCAAATCAAAATCCTTCAGAATGTGGCTCCAACCTGTTCTCTCATATTCTAGCCAAAATGTGCAACTTACCTCTCCCCGATTCTAATCATGCCATCTCTTGCCCTTATTCTTTTCCTCATGCCATCCCCCATGCCTGGAAGTGACTCAGTAACATGCTTGCCCACCCTAAATCTCAACTTCCAGGCCCAATTCAGATGCTACTTCTAAGGATCCTTCACTAACCTCTTATCACTCCCCACCAACCATATAGGAATGATTTGTCCCTTTGAAAATATTTCATAGCACTGATTTGGATCTCTCCTTTGTAAGAGAAGTTTACTTTTTACAAAATAAACATAACATCAAGTATATATATGATACACACACATTATGTGTGTCTATCCACTCTCCCATATTATAGGCTTCAGAAGAAGGTATATGTTTGTATCTTTGTAATTCTATTCTTAGCATAGTAATGCTAGGTGTTTTATTCAATCAAATTAAATATTAAATCCTTAATATGAAAAGCACTGTGTTAAATATAGGGAGAAAAATTGTATGTAACACTAACTCTATCATGTAGTTTACAACCTAACAATTTGATTTAATGGAAAAAGCACTGATTTAGAATCAGAAAACCTGGTCTAAGCCTTGACTGGCTGATCTTGGGCAAGTCACAAGAAGTCAATGTAGTACGATAATCCAATTCAAGATATGCTGACACTCCCCCACAACCCTGACACACAAACTTCAGTTTCTCTATTAATTTATTTACCTCTAGTTTTCTGTGTGTGTTTACAACTTCGACTTTCCTTATAAGCATCCCAACACATGCCCTGTGATAATCCAGTTTCTAAAATGATTCAATTAATTCTGTAGTTTCTTTTTTCTTCTTTTTTTAATGTTTGCATCTTTCTCCCTTTCCCACCTTCCTCGAATAATAGGAGTAACATTTAAGATTATCCACACTGCCCACTCCTTGCTCATTCAATATTTATAACCATAATCAAAGAATTCCTCTTTTCCATTCTCCTTACCTTTACTCTTGTTGTTACATTAAAAGGATGTAAATTTTACTTACGGAATCAAACTTTTTGTTCCGTCTTCCTTATGATTGTTGCAATGGAGGAAATCATACGCTTTCTGTCATTTGGATGCCCCATCTCAAGTCCAACCTTGAGGACAACTGCAATTTCTCCAAGCCATCTCCACTGGGTTTAGGCCAATGGAATATTCATGTGGGAAATCACATTCCAGCTTTTTCTAGTGATAGGGTGAATAAATCCTGTTATTCAAATCCTAATTCTTTGATGTTATGTTTTTCTTCTCAGCTGCTTACACAATAGGCTCTCTTGCTTTCTCCGCTGCTTTTATTCCTTTACTTATTTTTATTTATTTTTTTAGTTCCGTGTTAGGTGGTGTTATCTATTCATACCACATCTATTCATGCCTCTCAATTGCCCTCAGAGTGCCTTCACTTTAATTCTTTGGAGACTATAGTATTCTATAACTTGTAGTCATACATCATGGTAGAATAACAATAGTAATAAGTCTGGGGTGATTAAAATGGCATTTTGACACTACAGCCCATTTTCTTCCTCCAGTTTAGTTCTGGACTTAAATCATTGGCTGTTCACTGTATGGCCTTGGACAAGTCATTTCTACTTTCTGAATTTTGGTTTCCTCATCTGTTACCTGAGGAGGCTGGATTTAGATTACCTGTAAGGGCCCTTCCATAAATCCTACGATTCTAGTAATCTCTCCCCTTCCTAAAATAAATAGTACTTTCAAAATTACATTTCAATGAACTAAAATGGCTAAAAATTTCTTTCTTGATGAGCCATTTCCTTAGTTACGGTTCACCACTGAAATTTTGTTGAGAATTATTCTTGAGAATCCACAAAGCATCTAACTGCTAGCTTGTGTTATTTTTAGCATAATTATTTTAACACACTCTAAATTAATAACTAGCCTAATACCACTGATTATACTTCATTTACCCATTTCCTTTATGGTTTAACTTTTCATGATTTGTGAGTACTAATTTTTTTTACCCCACAAGCAAACACTATTTTTATTGTCCAGAGGCAGATTAACTAGGTATCTGAAGCAGCCACTGCTACATTATAAAATATACAAAACATAAGTAAAATAAATAGCAATAAAGCATTTTCTATATGCAGCAAACTGTTCTGGTTTCACCTAATATTACTTAAGCCAATACTCCTGTGGCTAAGCTACTACACTGGGAAGAACAGCAACTGACGTATAGAAAATAAAATGTTTTTTTTGTTTTGTTTTACACCTGAAAGTGTTTTTTATATCTAAGCACTTCAAATTGATTGTATGAAATGGCAGTAGCTACAAGGTAAAAATTTAACATCTTAATACTTGTCAGTGTATCACTTAAAAATTAAAAAAAATTGTTCAATGAATTAAACAAGGAAAAATCACCTTCAAGAAAAGATTTAATTAAAGGACTCCAAAGGTTACAAATCATTTGTAGAGACTATCTAGCTCCACTTTGGGAAGCCTGTAAGCTTTCTTTTCTGTCACCTTCAAGTACTAGAGAACGGTAAGGAAACTAACATAAAATTTCATTGTTCATGGGCTCAAATAGGAAATGGTACACGGGCAACATATATACTTGAAATTGCGCAAAACACCGAAAGCAGATTATAATTTTTAATCAATCAAGTATATATGCCTAGTTAGGTATTTTGCTACTTAGAAACTCTAAACTCTTTTTTGGTAACAAAGATAAAACAGATCAGCAATTAAGCTTCTTATAAATTAGTAAAAATTCTACAAAATAACATTTTCATAATCAGTAGTCATGAAAAAGAGAAAAAGATAGAGTCTACTAGATATTAAAATAGTAGATGTTAAGATTAAACTAGCCTTATGTATTTAAACATCATTGCTGCAAAACCCCAGCATTTTACAAAGGCAGAATACAGGATTGGATTTATCTGCTTTGACAAGTGGAAGGCTTTTTCTTCAAAGAGGCTTTTAGTCATCTTTTTGTTGTTAAAAAAAAAAATTCAGTACATTGAGTCAAAGCAGCAAATAAGAATTAGTAAAACTCTCCATTTTTTCCAAGTTTACCAAATAAAATTAGGCAGTTCGACTCACCAATTAACCAAAGGGGTTTGTTTGTTAATAATGTAGAAATAGCCTCATTCCACATCTATCATTTCTAGTCCATCTCTTTCTTTAACATATGTCACAGAACTTAGTGCTTTTCCTGAATGAGATTCTGTGCCAGTCTCTTCATTCACTGTAAAGTTTTCTCCTTGAATTGTAGCTTCTAACCTTATTTTTCCGGTATTTTGAAATAACTGAGTCACTGGTCTTAACCTGGTTTTCTCAGTCCTTCGGATTAAATGATCCTCCACTTTTGAATCACTGTGTATAGCAGATACTTGAGTAGCAGATTTACTAAGAGAGAATCCCATTTTGGGACAATATCTTCAAAGTCTAGAAAAAAAAATTGCCAACAAAATTTCTGTGTAGTTGAAAGGCAATGCTCACAAATTTTTCTTCAACTTGATCACTGAAAAACTCCTATTTGAAAGACAGAAAACCAATGAAAATATCAAAAGCTAATACTAATTACTTGCCACTTATGCTTAAGACATACATGGCTTAAGACTTGGAAGGAATGTAATGTCATAGTTGTCATACTGAATTATAGAAAGAATTTACTCCTCCCCACTTATCAAAATTTAGAAGGTTCCATTTTCCTTTTCAGAAGGTTCCTAAGTTCTTTATTTTTAAAATTTGTTTAACATTTTAATTTACTATTTATTTTAAACATGATTTTCTTTTTAAATCTTGAGTTCCAAATTCTCTCCTCCTTTCCACTCCTCCCCCATACACTGAGATACAAATAATGTCAATTATACATGTGAAATCATGCAAAACATATTTCTGTATTAGCCATGTTTTTTTTTTAAAAAACAAGAAAAATAAAGTGAGAAAATTATACTTCAGTTAGCACTCAAGAGTTCATCAATTGTCTCTCTGGAGGTGGATAGCATTTTTTCATCATAAATTTTTTGGAGCTGTCTTGGATCATTGTATTGATCAGAGTAACTAAGTCTTTCACAGTTATCATCATTACAACCTTGCTGTTACTGTGCACAATGATCTCTCAGTTCTCATTTCATGTTGAATAAGTTCATATAGTTCTTGCCATGTTTTTCTGAAACCACCCCCTCATCATTTTTTAAAGCACAATAGTACTCCATCACAATCATTGCCACAACTTGTTCAGCCATTCTCCATTTGATGAGCATCCTCTAAATTTCCAATTCTTTGCCATCACAAAATAGCTGCTATAAAGATTTTTGTACACATGGGTTCTTTTCCTGTGTATTTTCCTCTATCCCATTTTCTTGTTTCTTCTCTCTTTATCCTGTCCCTCCTCAAAAATTTGTTTTGCTTCTGACCATTGCCTCCCTTAATCTGCCTTCTCTTTTATCATCACTCCCCCTTTTTCTCATCCCCTTCCCCTCCCTATTAGGTAAGTTACATTTCTATACACAGCTGAGTATTTAAATATATTCTTCCCTCTATGAACCAATTCTGATGAGGGTGAGGTTCAAACACTACCTGCTATCACCATCCCCCTCCTATTTTCCCCTCCTTTTTTTTAAAAAGCCCTTCCTTGAGTTCCTCTTTCATGTGAGAAAAATTTCTGCATTCCATCTCTCCCTTACCCCTTCCCCTAGTGCATTCCTTTCTCATTCCTTCCTTTTTTTTGAAGATCATTTCAACATAACTGACTCACATCCATGCCTTCTTGTCTGTGTAATCTCCTTTTAACTGCTTTAATAATGATAAAGTTCTTAGAAGTTACATGTATCATCTTCACCTTTGAAATATAAACAGTTTAACTTTATTGAATGCCTTATGATTACTCTTTCATGTTTACCTGTTTATGCTTCTCTTGAGTCTTTCGTTTGAATGTCAGTTTTTCTATTCAGCTCTGGTCTTTTCATTAGGAATGCTTTTATTAAATATCCTTTTTTTTTTTCCTCCAAAGGATTACACTCAGTTTTACTGTAAAACTCAGTTTGGTTGTAGTCCTAGTTCCTTTGACTTCCAGAATATCATATTCCAAACCCTCCACTCCTTTATCATGGAAGATGCTAATCTTGTGTAATCCTGTTATGCCATTATATTTGAATTGTTTTTTTCTGGCTGATTGCAGTATTTTCTCCTTGGTTTGGGAGCTCTAGAATTTGGCTAGAATATTCCTGGGAGTTTTCATTTTGAGATCTCTTTCAAGAAGTGATTGGTGGATTCTTTCAATTTCTATTTTACCCTTTGGATCCAAAATATCAGAGCTTTCCTTGATAATTTCTTGAAATATGATGTCTAGGCTCTTTCTTTGTTCATGGCTTTCAGGTAGTTCAATAATTCTTAAATTATCTCACCTTGGTCTATTTTCCAGATCAGTTGTTTTTCCAATGAGACAATTCACATAGTCTTCTATTTTTCTATTCTTTTGACTTTGTTCTATATTGTTTCTTGATGTCTCATGGAGTCATTAGCTTCCACTTGCCCAATTCTGCTTTTTAAGGAGATCTTTATACTTTCATGAATTTTATCATTAGGCCAATTCTATTTTTAAGGTGTTATTTTCTTCAGTGACGTTTTGTACCTCTTACCCAGCTGTTAATTCTCTTTTCATAATTTTCTTGCATCATTCTCATTTTTTCCTCTACCACTCATCTCTTTAATGCTTCCAGGAATGCTTATTGGGTTTGGGTCCAATTAGCATTTTTTTGAGGCTTTGTTCATGGCTATTTTCACATTCTTGTCGTCTTCTGAGTTTATGTCTTCGTGTTCCTTGTCACCAAAGTAGCTTTTTATGGTCAAATTCTTTTTTGTTGTTGCTTGCTCGTTTTTCCAGCCTGCTTCTTGACTTTGAACTTTATATTAAAGTTGGGCTTTGCTCACCTTAGGGTGGCAAGGAACTGCCCAAGCTTTAGGCTTTTTGATGCTGTTGTTTCCAGAGCTAGTTGTGGGGGGGGTCTGCAAGTTTTTAGTGCTTCCAGGGTGATGTGATCCTTGGAGAAGTATGGTCACTGCTCTCTTGGTCTGTACTCTGGTCTTTACCCAGGAAAGGCCCTTGGTCCCCTGCAGCCACAAGCACTAGAGCTCCTCTTTGCTTTGGAACTGTGACCAGGACCCCTACTCCCTTGTGATCAACCCCTAGCTCTCCTCTCTGCCCTGGAACTGCAACTCAGAATTGCATATGGGCAACAGAGTTGTCAGTCAGTACCAGCTGGATAAATTATACCCAAGGAGTACCTAATGAGGTTTTAACTCACTGAGGAATTCTGAGGAAGCTTAAGTGATTTATCTTGTTATTCTCTATAATGCCTTAAAAGGGTTCCCCTATAATTTCTTTCTGACCAACTGTCCAATTCCCTTATCATCATCTGTGGGCTGAGAGCTTTTCAGGTGCTGCAGCCACTGTTGCTGCCATAGCGTATGTGGGCTCTGGACAGGCCTCCACCCTCATGTCACAAACTTCTGCTGATCTCCTAAGTTTTCTTATGCTGGAAAAATATCTTACCCCGTCCTTGGCCCTGCCACTCCAAAATTAGATTTGAGGTGTTACTTTAAAGTTGTTTAGAGGGGCATACTGGGAGAGTTCAGTTGGGTCATTCAGAATTTTAAAGCATATGAACCACCGAGTGTTAATCTCAGTCACTTTTCAAAAAGTAGCAAGGTGGCACATTGACTTTAAAATTCTGAATGACATTATTTCTGTTACAAAATCATTTGTTCATTCATAAGGTATTTATTGAGCACTTACTGGAGGCATCTGGTAGCTCAGTGGATAGAACCTGAGCCTGGAGTCAGGAAGACTCGAGTTCAAATCCGCCTCAGACATTTCCTAGCAAATCACTTAACTGCTTATTGTCTGACAAAATGGATCCACTGGAAAAGGAAATGGCAAATCACTCCAGTGTTTTTGCCAAAAAAAAAACAAAAAACAAAACTCAAATGGAGTCATGAAAGATTAGACACTACTAAAATGACTGAACAATCCCTCTAAAAGTACGTGGTTTATGGAAAACATTGTCCCAGACTTTTGGCAGCATGCAAAAAATATTTCCTGTTCTCAACAAAATTTACAGTATACTACACAAGATACATCACACCTTAATACTCTAATCTTATTTTGTGCAGAAGTGATATGCAACTATTTTTGAAAATTTTAAGTAAAACTTTAGCTTTGAAAACCTCTTCTTCCAATGTGTGCACAAAGATGGACACTATTGATAAAAAGAGAATACTGGAATTGATGTTCAGTATTCTCAAAAAACTGAGACCCATTAAGATTAAGTCCATTTTAAGGCATTACAGAGAATAACAAGATAAATCACTTAAGCTACCTCAGAATTCCTCAGTGAGTTAAAACCTAATCAGGTACTCCTTGGGTATAATTTATCCAGTCATAAATATTTAACAATCTTTCCAGATACTATTTCTGGGTTGAACTATGAATTCGAGGGAATTACTTTTTGCGTAATTTTTTTAGTACTTCAAAACCTTTTTTTTTCTTTAACATCTTGACTACTAAAATATTCAGTATTTCTTATCACACACCTAGGACCCTGGGAAAATGACAGCAATATTTATAACTGCTACTAAAAGTTTACTTCAAATACCTCGAAGCTCTTAAATGGTTTAAACATTAAAATTCTACATAAGTCTGAAGTACTTCCTGATTACCTTTTTTTTTTTGATCTGTGGATAAAATAAGCATGAATAGGGAAGAAAGCAAAATTTATATGGACCTCTCGATAAACAAAAAAAGGTGAGAGGCATCCTAGCACATTGGATAATGGGTGGCCTTGGAGCAAGAAATACTTGGGTTCAAACCTAACCCTTGACACATGTTATGTGTCTCACTCTAAACAAGTCACTTAAACCCCCAGAGCCTCAGCAATGCAGAAACAAACCAGCTGGAATTCCCCAAATAGATAAAATTACTAAAAAACAGTTCCAAAGGTTATCTCACCCCATCAAATCAATGTTTCCATTTACTGAAGAGTAGTTTTAAAGTACTTTAACCATAGTAGAATAGGATACTGAGCACAATACAGTATCTAGCACATAAAAGGAGCTCAATAATTATTTGTAGGTTGATAAATATGCATCTGAGATAAAAAACAATTTGGAAAGATTTGTGATTTGTGAAAGATTTACTTTAAAAAGATCACAGACTTAGAGATGGAAGAGACTTTGGAAATAATCCAGTCTAATTATTTTATACATTTTATACATTTAGTAGTCCTAGAGACATTAGGTGACACGTACTTTGTTAAACTTTTGAAATCTGAATTACTCTCTTAACTATTTAGCTTTCAAATATCTTCTCTTTATCATAAAAATATCCTAATACTTGACCCAAACTATTAAAGTTGAGTTGATTCTGTTCTCTGACCTATTTTTACTTTAAGAAATAAGTAGGTGGTTTCCTTTCCCTAACCTTTCCTCCACCTATCTTTTACCTTTTATTTCCCATAGAAGAAGGCAGAATTAAAGTACCATTGACATAGTAGGTAGGACTGGTCTGTTTCTGCATTCCTACAGTTCTTTCTTTGATCCTGGCTTTCAGATAGTCGAAGAATTCTTAAATAATCACTCCTTGATCTATTTTCCAGATCAGTTGTTTTTCTGATGTGATATTTCATATTTTCTTCTATTTTTTCAGTCTTTTGACTTTGTTTCTTGATGTCTCAGAGAGTTATTAGCTTCCACTTGACCAATTCTAATGTTTAAGGAATTATTTTCTTCAGTAAGGCTTTGTACCACTTTTACCAAGCTGTTAATTCTCTTTTCATCATCTTCTGGCACTGCTCTTATTTCTTTTCCCAGTTTTTTCCCTATCACTCTTACTTGATTTTTAAAACCATTTTTTGCTCTTTTTTAATCTTTTTAGCTCTTCTAGAAATTCTTGTTGGTTGTGTGTACAATCCGTATTTTTAAAAGACTTCCCTTTTAGATATTTTGAAGTTGTTGACTTCTGAGTTTGTATCGTGAGCCTCCCTGTGACCATAGAAACTATTTATGATGAAGTTCTTTTTTTGTTGTTTGCAAATTTTTCCAGCCCATATCTTGATTTTGGGCTTTATGTTAGAGTTTGGCTCTACTCACTTCTGGGGTGGGCTATTCTGAGCTTCTGTGGCTAGATTTGGGGAGCTTGTAGGTTTTTGGTGCCCAAGGAGGTGTGATCCAGGGAGAGTTCTGATCACTATCTTCCTGGTCTTCACTCTGGTCCTTACTCAAGTAGGGCCTCTGTCTTCTCTAGTGAAACTGCTCCTCTCTGCCTTGGATCTGCAACCCAGACCTGGGTAACGGTTAACACAACTGCCAAGTGATGCCTAGTCCTGTGTTCAATGTTAGTACAGGGGTCCCTTGTAATCTCTTTCTGACCAGGTGTTTAGTCCCCTTACTGTCCTTAGGTGCTGAGGGCTCTCAGTGTCTACCTCCTCTAAGCCTTATAACCAGTGATGCTTCTGCCATGCTGGGCATCTGGCCAGCTCCCACTCCAGTATCTATAGACCTCTCCTTCTATTTTCCTAAACTGTCTTGGGCTGAAAAAAGGTCTCACTGTGACTTATTTTTTGTTATCCCACTCAGAATTTGATTTGACATACCTTTTAAAAGTTATTTAGGGGTTGGGAAAGCTCAGCAGAAATGCTCACTGCACTTTGTCATCTTGGCTCCACCTCTCCCTAATACTGTCAAGTTTCCTAGGCTTGCAACCTAGATGTCATCCTCTACTCCTAATTCCAGTGCTCCTCCTTGCTGTCCTGCCCTGCCCCCCCCAACCAGTATCCAATCTGATGCCAAGGTCTGTCGATTTCACCTTTGCACCATCTCTTTTGCCCCCTTCTCTCCTCTGACACTGCCCTGGTGCAGGTCTTCATCTCATCAAGCCTGGACTATTCCAAGTCGGCTTGGTTGATCTGCATACCACAAATCTCTCCCCACTCCAGTCCATCTTCCATTCAGTAGTCAGTGATTTTTCTAAAGCACACGTCTAACTATGTCACCTCCTCATTCGATAAACTCCAGTGGTTCCTTATCACCCCCAGAATCAAATATAAATCCTCTGCCTGGGATTCAAACTCTTCATAACCTAGCCTCTCCCCTCACCTTTCCAGTTTTCTTACATATTCTATCACCCATGTACTCTTCAATCCAGTGACACTGTCCTCCTTGTTGATACTTGAACAAGATACTCATCTCCCTACTGTGGGCACTTTCACTTGGCTGTCTTCCATGGCCAGAATGCTCTCCCTACTTGTTTATACTACCTGACTTTCCTTTCCTGGCTTCCTTCAAATCCCAGCTAAAATCCTACATTCTCCAGGAAGCCTTTCCCATCTCTCTTAATTCTAGTGCCTTCTCTCTGTTAATTACTTCGTATCTATCCTGTATACAGCTTGTTTGTACATATTTGTTTGCATGTTGTCTCTACCATTAGGCTGTGAGCTCCTTAGTAGTAGACTAGCTTTTGACAGCCTTTGAAGCCCCAGCACTAAGGACAGTGCATGGTATATAGTAGGTGCTTAATAAATGTCTTTACAACCTTCTTTCCAGTCTTCTTACATATTAATACTCTCCACAATTCAGCTTTACTGGTTTACTTATTGTTCTTCACACATACAAGTGCATCTTTCATCTTTCTGCTTTTGCTTTGGCTGTCCCCCATCCCTGAAATATACTACCTTCACCTCTACCTCTAAGAATCCCTGCCTTCCTTCAAGCCTTAGTACAGAAGTCTTTCCTAGTGCCCTCAGCTGCTACTGCTTTTCCCTTTTAGAATTACCTTCTAGAATTACCTACAATTATTTGTGTACATAGTAGCTGCTTCAATAGAATGTGAGTTTCTTGTGGGTAGGGGCTGTTTTTACTTTTTTCTTGGTATTTTCAGGGTTTAGCACAATGCCTGGCACATAACCGAACTTAATAAACTGTTGTTGATTGATTGGGGGGCATTTTTTCATATATTGTTTTACATTGCTTTTTGTTTCATGGGCATAGTTTGTTTCCCTAATAGGGAGTTCAGCTTCTTAAGAACAAGGTTCAGTTTTATTATGTTTTATCTCTAAAGATGCCCACAATAATGCCAGGCACATAGTTTGTTAACAAATATTTGTTGATCTAGAAGATGAAATGATTTGCTTCAAAAACTAAAGCAACTCCTATGTAACTTTTAGGAATAAAAGAAGAAAAGAGAAATGACTGACCATCAATTTATTATCAGCCAGCCTAATAAACTGATTATTAATTACCCCAAAATTCTTTTGGACTTTTCATTCATCTCAGTTTCTTTGAAACCATCTTTCAGCAAAATAGTATTCCATTACATTCATACACAACACAATTTGTTCAACGATTTCCCAACTGATGGGTACTTCCTTAATTTACAGTTCTTTGCAACTACAAAAAGATCTGCTAAAAAGGGGTCTTTTTCTTCTTTCTTTGATCTTTTTGGAGTATAAGCCTATTATTGAAATACAGGCCTAGTATTAGTATCACAATAGTCGTCAATAAGCATTTATTAAACTCTTTACTAACTAAGCACTGGGGATACAAAAAGGCAAGACAGACTCTGCCCTCAAGGAACTCACAAACCAATGGGGTAGACAAGAAATAATTACGCACAAACAAGCTATTTACAGGATAAATAGGAAATAATCAAAAGAGGGAAGGCAATAGAATTGAGAGGTTAGGAAATACTTCATGTAGAAGATGAAATTTCATGTAAAAGATGAAGGAGGCCAGGGAAGCAAAAAGGCTTCCACTGGGTCAAAAAGTATGCATAGTTTAGTAACCATTGGGACACAATTCCAAAATGCTTACCAGAATGGCTAGATCAATTCACAGCCCCACAAACAGTACATCAATTTATTTTCCTACATTCCCTTCAACATTTGTCATTTTTTGTCTGGTTTGCCAATCTTATGGGTATGAAGTAGAACTTCAGAGTTGCTTTAATTTACATTTCCCTACTTACTAGTGATTTGGTGCATTTTTTTTTTATGTGGTTATAGGTAGTTTAGGTTTCTTCCATGTAGAACTGCCTGTTCATATAGCCTTAGACTATTTATTAAAAGAGAAATGGATCTTATTTTCATAAACTTGAATCAATTCCTTGTATATTTTGAAATAAAACCTTCATCAGTGAAACTTGCTGCAAAGATTTTTTCCCCCTTTTAATCTGGGCTACACTGGATTTATGCCAAAACTTTTAAATTTTATATAATCAAAACTATCCATTTTATCTTCTGTAATCTTCTCTATCTCATTAGGTCTATTTAGAGATTTGAAAGGTAATTTTTTTCCTTGATCCTCTCTCTAACCTATGATGTAACCTTATATGTATGTTATATATACATTTGGAAGCCATTTTGGTATAAAGTGTTCTTCTAAACTTAAATTCTGCTAGAATGCTTTCCAGTTTTCCCAACAGCTTTTGTCAAACAGTGAGTTCTTATTCTAGTATCTATGGTATTTGAATTTATCAAACACTTGATGACTCCTGTTTGGTTGGTACCTAATTTGTTGTACTGAGTAACCAACCTCTTTATCTTTTAACGAATACCAAATTGTTTGGAAGATTACTGCTTTCTTAGTATAATTTGAAATCTGTTATTAGGCTCCTATCCTTCCTACTTTTTTTTATTTCCCTTCATATTCTTAATCTTTTGTTCCTTCAGATTAATTTTCTATTACTTCTAGTTCTATAAATTAATCCTTTGGTAAATCGACTGGCATTTCTCCAATTGTTTAGGTCTATATTACTGTAAAGAGTGTTTTAAAGTTGTATGCATATAGTTCCTGTGTCTCTGGAGAAACAAAATATACCTGCTCCCTCAGTAGAGAGGTGAGAGGACTCAGGTTGTGGACTGTGATATATACTGTATGGCATATTCTGTTGGCTGTGTAGGTTGGTTTTGTTGAAATGTTTTTCATTATTAAAAAGAAGGGTTCAATGGGTACAAAGTTAAGGGTAAATGACAAGTAAAAAAACAAAATGTAACAGTAACCGGAGAAGACCCCTGATCTGTTGGACTGAGGGTTCTCCCAAAGGAGTCAAATCCATTTCAATTGGTGAGCCCCAGTCTAGACGATTAGGAGTACTCCCATGATGACTCGGGTTACAAAAAAAAAAAGCTTAAGGAAAAAAAATCAAACTATTGCATTTACACTAACATATCTTACATATGTATACATAAAACTATAGAGGAACCAAAAAAATTAGAATTATTAAGTTGGGAACATATGAAGCATCTGCATTATGATAATCATTTTTGAAGAAGCATCCTAAAGAAGAGATGTTCATATCTACAGGTGTAAAATATAATGCCATAAAAATGATCACCCACCTTTCTAAAACATGAATTATCAATCTCTTCGAGATGTGACCTGACTTTTTAAATAGAGGTTTGAGCTGTTTCACCAACACTGAAATACACTCCGGGGAAAATTTAGACATCATCCCAGCTGTATTTAAAAAAAAAGAAAGAAAAAAGAGAGGGAGGAACCACAATGGTTCAAATGTTGTTTGTTACTTACGAGGGGGTGGGTAGAAATCAACGCACCGATTTCCCCAGAGCATTCTTTTTTAAATGGAAGGCAAAGAGACCAACCTTGGTCTTCTTTCTCTCACCTCAATTTCTCACTTTAAGACAATCAATTAATACACGAATTCGTCTCCACGGAGTCTAAGCTACTGCTGTGACAGTCATGACAGAAGGAAGGCTTATTGACTAGACATTAAAACATGGAAAGCACAGATGTATGTTTTTCTCTAACATTCTAACAAGAGATCAGACCATCCCTCCCCCTTCTCAGCCGCTTTAAGGAGAGGGGTCTGCATGTTCCGCCCCCCTCCTACGGGTGCTGGGCCCTGGGCTGGCGCCCCCCCCCCCGGGGCTGAGCTGACCGCGGTCAGCGCCCTTCAGCGTCCGCGACGGGACTGGGGGGCGGGGCGGGAGGAAAGGACGGCCGCTCCGGGAGCACGGCTGCCGGCGCTCACCTCGGTCTAGACAGCCAGCTCTCCGGGATCCCGCAAAGCCCACAGGTGGAAACCTTGGGAGGCTCCGCGGCACGCCCGGCTGCGGCCGAAGAGTGCAGTCCGCGCTCCGAGAACAACGGACGAAGCCGGCTCTCCAGGCTTGAGTCCCGTAGATTTAAGAATGATAACTGCGCCACGTCGCGGGAGAAATAAAGAACCAAGCTAAGGCGCCACGGGTTGCCCCAGACAGAGCAAATAGAGCGGGGGTTCCAAGGGGGGTGGGGACGGAGAAGGAGAAAATGTAGGGAGCGCATGCGCGCTCTTCTCAGGTGAGGCGAAGGACCTGTAGGAGCAGCTGCCCGGAGGGTGAGGAAGGCTGCTGAGGCGGAAAGAGGGCGCGTGTCTGGTTACTAGGAGACCAGACGCTGGTGTCGTGGGAAAAGGGAGGGTACAGCTTTTGAACCACAAGAGGGAGGCTGAATGGGGGGGCTGGAGCGAAGGCGGAATCGCGGGCACGCGCCGAGGGTGCGAGCTCGTTGGAAGGGCGGGTGAGCAGGTAGACGTCTACGTCGCTAGGTGTGAGTGCGTGGCTGGCAGCGTGCCTCCTAGGAAGTAGGCGTACGGTTACTAGAGGGTGGAGCCCAGTCGAGTGCACGCGGGCAGCGGGAGTGAGGCAGAGCGAGGGCGCCGCGGCCGTGGAGGAGGAGGAGGAGCCCCCCGCAGGTACGGAGGCGTGTGGGCGGAGCCCGGCGGTTAGCACCGCCTCCTCCCCGCCCGGCCCCGCCTCCCGCTTCCCTTCGCCAGCTGGACGGGTCCGGGTTGATTTGGATTTTAGGGAGGGCGAGGACAAGGAGGAAAGGGAAGGGGAGGGGGGCAGGGCCTGGCCGCCGCCGCCCGCGGGGACTAGCGCCGGGATGGGTGGGGGAGGCCGGGGATGGGGGAGGCCTCCAGTTCTGACCGGAAAGGCTATGAGGACAGGAAGAATCTGAGTGGGCGTCCTCCCGCCCCACCCCCCGCCCTCGCCCTCTGAGGAGGGGCCCCCCCACCTGCTGCTTGGAGTCGGGGGGGGGGCGGGTCCGAGGGGAGGCTCCCGGTTTCCGGTTTCTCGGGAGCCCGGGGCCAAGCCCAGTTCCTATGGTGACCGCTTCACTTCTTCCAGCGTCTCTTTGCTGGGCTGTTGGGAAGGCTGCTCTAGGAGGGGCGCGTCTGGGGAGAGGTGAGAGCTTTGGGGGGCACTCCGGGACCCTCTTCCCTTCCTCAGGCCCCCTTCTTCCGGAAGTCCGAGGAGATAGTGTCTCTCCTGGGAGACGGAGTGTTTATTCAGGTGCATGAAAAGCAGACGCTTTTTCCAGGAATTAGAGTTTTAAGTACTGACAAGCAAAGAAAGGATGAGTTGGCTTTCTTTTGGAAAAAGTGTTAACTAGAGTTTAAATGGAATGAAATGTCTGGAGATTTTAGCCCTGGTACTTTTGGGGGGAAACCACCACCCTTGGGACTTTGCTTAGTGAGCTCGAACCTAGTTAACTTACCTCTCCCCCATTAGCTTCCGCGATGTTGATTGTTTTTAATCTTTTGTGCATTTCAACCTTTGATATCTCGAGTCACCTGTAGAAATAAACAGACTAACAAAGCTGACATATATGGAAATTGAGCTGTTATAAAGTGTCATCCTTATTCACGTCACAGAAGTACTCACCATCCCCAGTAAAAATACATGTTACTTATATTTTAACTGATGTACAGAACAGTCCAGAGTAAGAATAAATAAACATAATGTAATATGCCTTTTTGTTTGTTTTAATAATTTATTTTAGTTTTCAAGATTCACTTCCATAAGATTTTGAATTTTTAATTTTCTCCCCCTCTCCTCCCCACTCCCCAAGACAGCATGCAATCTAATGTAGGCTCTACATATACATTCACATTAAACATTTACACGTTAGTCCTGATGTAAAGAAGAATTAGAACTAATGGGAGGAATTAAAGAAGAAACAAAACAAAACAACAAAAGAAAAGGAGAGAAAATAGTATGCTTCCATCTGCATTCAGACTCCACAGTTCTTTCTGTGAATGTGGATAGCATTTTCCATCGTGAGTCTTTTGGGGTTGTCTTAGATCCTTGCATTGCTGAGAAGAGCTAAGTTTATCAGTCAGTCATCCAACAGTGTGGCTGTTACTGTGCACAATGTTCTCCTGGTTCTACTCATTTCACTCAGCGTCAGTTCATATAAGTCTTTACAGATTTTTAAACAACATATTGTAGGATTATGGTTCTTAATCTACTCTACTATCCACTTCCATTTTATGGGAGAGTTCATCCCATTTACATTCACAGTTATGATTACTATCTCTGTCTTTCCATCCTATTTTCCACCCTATTTATGCTTTTCTCTCTTTCTCTTTTTCCCTCCTCACTAGAGTTTTGCTTTCAATAACTGCCTCTCTCAGTCTGCCCTCTCTTCTATCAGCCCCCTACCTTTTCTTCCCCTTTACCCTTAATACTTCTTCTCTCCCTTGTATTCACCACCTCCCTTTTCTTTCCCTTTTCCCCTCCTACTTCCTATAGGATAAATTAGATTTCTACACGTAACTATTATGTTATTCCCTCTTTGAGCCAAATCTGATTAGAGTAAGGTTCAAACAATGCTCCTCTCCCTCCCTTCTTTCTCTCAACTGTAATAGGTTTTTGTGCCTTTTCATGTGATGTAATTTACCTTTCTCTGCCTCCTCCTTTCCTCTTCCAGAACAATCCCTTTTCACCACTTAGAGTTTTTATCATCACATCAAAGTCAACTTATACCCATGCCCTCTCTCTATGCATATCCCTTTCAAATGTTGTAATAATGATACAGTTCTCAAGAGTTACAAGTGTCATCTTCCCTTGTAGGGATGTAAACAGTTTGCCCTTATTAATAACTTTTTTTTTTCTTTACTGTTTACCTTTTTATGCCTTTCTTAAGTCTTGTATTTGAAGATCAAATTTTCTGTTGAGCTCTGGTCTTTTCATCAGAAAGGTCTGGATGTCCCCTATTTCATTGAATGTCCATCTCCTCCCCTGAAAGATTATGCTCAATTTTGCTGGATAGTTGATCCTTGGTTGTAATCCAAGCTCCTTTGCCTTATATCATATTCCATGCCCTCCAGTCTTTTAATGTAGAAGCTGCAAGGTCCTTCGTAATTCTGATTGTGGTTCCATGGTATTTAAATTGTTTCTTTCTGACTGCTTGCAGTATTTTCTCCTTGACCTGCTAATTTTGGAATTTGGCTACAATATTTCTTGGCATTTTCAATTTGGGATCTCTTTCAGGAGGTGATCGGTGGATTCTTTAGATGACTATTTTACCTTCTGTTTCAAGGACCTCAGGGCAGTTTTCCTTGATGATTTCCTGAAAGATGCTGTCCAGGCTTTTTTTCATCATGGTTTTCAGGTAGACCAATAATTTTAAAATTGTCTCTCCTAGATTTCTTTTCCAGGTCACTTGTTTTACTAATGAGGTATTTTACATTTTCTTCTATTTTTTCATTCTTTTATTTCTGTTTGACTGATTCTTGATATCTCATAGTCATTAGCTTCCACTTGCCCAATTCCAATTTTTAATGAATTGTTTCCTTCTATTAGATTTCATGCCTCCTTTTCCATTTGGCCAATTCTACTTTTTAAAGAGTTGCTTTCTTCAGTGTACTTTTTTTTTCTGTTTGGCCAATTGTGTTTTTTAAGGACTTGTTTTCTTCAGTGTACTTTTTTTTTCCATTTGACCAGTTGCATTTTTTAAGGACTTGTTTTTTACAATCAATTTTTGTCCTTTTTCTAAGCTATTGACTCACTCTTGCATATCTCTTACTTCCTTTCCCAATTTTTCTTCTACATCTCTTATTTGACTTTTAAATTCCTTCTTGAGCTCTTCCAAGAAGGCTTTTTGGGCTTGAGACCAGTTCATATTCTCCTTTGAGGTTTCAGGTGTGGGTATATTGACAGTGTTGTCCTCTTCTGAATTTGTGCCTTGATCTTCCCTGTCCTTATAATAAGAATCTATGGTCATTGTCTGTTTCTGCTTTCTGGTCATGGTGTTTGCCAATTTTTTGGCTTTTAAAGTTGAGTTCTCCTGCTGGAGTGTAGAGGACACCGACTCAAGCTTCTTGTGCTGGGAGCCTGGGACCTGGTCACTGGCTTTGTGTGCTGGGACCTCAGGTGCTGGCAGCTTGCTTGGTGTTGGCCTGCAATTAGCAGCACCAGAGCTCTCAGGGTTGGGGGGGGGAGTCTGGCCCCTGTGGGATGCCTGATCACCCAAGCTTCTTTAAAGCACTCAAATATTTGGCTTCTGGAGGATGTCTGCCAACCTGGAGTTGTGCTGAAGCACTGGGAGATTTGGCTGCTGGAGAACTTCAGCACACATAGTGGTTTTCTGAGGTGGGAAGGTTCCTCTCCCTGTGCACTGTGGGGGTTGGGAGTTGGGGTGGGGAGGGGAGGTCCTGATGTTGGCACTTGCCTGCTACTTCACTCTGGGGCTCAGGATCTCCCCCGGTATGCCGAGTTGGTGCTTGCCACTGACTTGCTGGGATGGTTCCCGTCTGGTACTGCTCCCCCTCTCCCAAAGCAAGAGAGGCTTTTCCTGTTAATCCTCCAAGCTTCCTGGGCTATAAGATCTTGTCTTTCTGCTGGCTCAGCTGTTCCAGAGTTTTTCCCAGGGTATTTTCTGGGCTTTCAGAGGTCAGTAAGGGAAGGTGACAGCGACTTACTGATTACTTTGCTATCTTGGCTCCCGGAAGTCTCTTACATGCTTTTTAAACTACTCATTTTAAATCTAAATGTTAGACTATGCTTTGAAAGCTTTTTTTTTTTTTTTTTTTTTTGCTAGGCAGTAGGGTTAAGTGACTGGCCCAGGACCACACAGCTAGTAAGTGTCAAGTGTCTGAGGCTGGATTTGAACTCAAGCCCTCCTGACTCCAGGGCCAGTGTTCTATCCACTGTACTACCTAGCTGCCCCTTGAAAGCTGTTTATCTTTGTATTTAATGTAATAGTTACTACTTTTTAGCCAGGACTGTGGTTGGCTTTTGTTTTAGAATAATTTAATTTTAAGGTTCTACAGATGTAGAATTTCTTTGATTTCAGAAATCAAAGCACTGGAAAAAAGGTTTGATTTAGTTAATTCTTTTTGATAAAGAAAAATAAGTAGTTGAGCAGGCAGGGACTAGCAATGTTATTTGGAATAAGCTAATAATAGTATTGGGATTAAGTCTTTAATAATATTTTATATATATGTGAATGTTGTATCATCCCCATTTTACATATGAAGAAATTAAATTTCAGAGAGCTTGCTCCAGAGCACAGGCATTTTAACTATGGCACAGCCAAGACTGGAGTTTTGGCCTCAAGTTCAGTATTGTTTCCACATGGTAATGCAGCCACTGTTGGTATTCTGATTTGTAAAGCAAGATATAAATATGAGGCCATATAATATATGTATAGTTTTTATTTTCATTTTTGGTCTAGACTTTTAATGTCATTAGTATAGGCAGCTTTGGATTTGGAAATTGCCTTCAAGGATTGCAGTGCAGCTTTGTTACTCAGCTACTACCAGTTACTTAAAGTTTTAGAGAGTTGCCTCAGGACCAGGAGAGGTTTAAGTAAGCGTCTTACTTGTCCTTGGGAACACCTGAGTATTCTTCAAGAGTGGGCCTTGAGTCCAAGGGCAACTCATTATCTACCATGCTATGCTGCCTTTCATAATGTAAATGTAATGATATAATATATTTCCAAAATTTATTGTATGATTTGCACTTCTGAATTGGCAATTCAGCATAGGAGCCTGTTTTGAGATGGAATTTTTTTTTTTTTTTTTTGCAGGCATTTGTATGGTTTTACAGATAGTTTTTTCTGTGTTGAATCTTTCTCTATTTGTTTTGTTGTAGGAGAATTGCTTTTTGTAGACTTCTTGTTTGTGGAAGTTAAATATTAATATCATTTCCTATTAACAAAAACTAGGCATATAGGTTAAATTCCATTGTAATTTCCATTTGTAAATTCCATTTGTAATAAATTACAAAGATCTGTCAGATTTTTTGTTTTGCAAGTTTACCATATTGACTATTGCTTGAAATATGTGGACCATTAGTTACTGTTTGGAAATCTGCAGGTATTATTCACTTAAAGGGCCTTTGCTATGACAAAATTTATCTTTTGTTATGAGTTGTACTATAATCTAGTCAACTCTGTT